GGGCGTTTGGCCAGCAGGCCCCGCTCTTGATCAGGGTGGGAGGGTCCGATCAGGGGCAGGCTGGCAGCGGGGAGGGGCCACGAGGTTGGCAGCTGGCTCCACCCCCTGATCAGGCCGGTTTGCTGGCCACAGTGGGCGGCATAGCGACCAGTTGTTAGCTAGTTATGGCCGTTATGGTAGCTGCCTTTTTATATATATAGATATTCTACATTTATTATTTATTTTAAAATAAAAAGTAAATGATAATATGAAATCCCTAAATTAGAAATGTGAAAAGAGGAAAACAACATCCTAAATAACAAAATACCTCACTTTCAACTTTCAAAGCCTTCTGTATAGTGTTATTATTAGATGTCAATTCCTTTGTCCGTTCTCTCTCCTCTGACAACTCACTTACAAATATTTCAATTTTTTCTTGGCTCATTTTCAATATCTGCAAAAGAATTTTTACATAAGTAATCCTATATATAATAATGTTTCTATAAATTCTGATAATCAAAAAGTATCTGCCTAACTCAATTATACAGTCATCTTGGGGAGACAGAAAGCTGAGAAAAATAGTTCATGGTACCATAGCTCATAAAATACACTTTTTTCTCCCTAAGCCTGTTTTCTCAACAATAAAATGGAGCTAATATTTGCCCTATGTACATTAGAGCCATCAGATAAGAGTAAAATGTGATTTTGAAAGCATTTTGTATATTTTAAGTACCCACCAAATATAAGGTATGTTGAAATCTTACCGAATTGATGATAATTGCAAAAATGTTGTCAGTTACTATTTATTTAGTGCTTACATATGTCAGGCATTATGGTAAATGCATTACCTCATTTTGTTTTCCCAGTATTCCTATGAGATCGTAACTATTATTACATTATTTTAACAGAGAACATAGATGAGGCTCAGATATATTAGATACTTTGCCTAGAGATACACAGCTAACATTGGGATTCAAACCAAGTCTAACTTATAAACCCTTGTCTTATTTTATTTTCATTGAATTTTTGACATATGAATAATTGACATATAACATTATATTAGTTTCAGGTGTAAAACATGATTTGATATTTGTGTATTTCGCAAAATGATCACAATAGTAAACAACCATCACCCTAGATCAGTGATGGCGAACCTATGACACGCGTGTCAGAGGTGACACGCGAACTCATTTTTTTGGTTGATTTTTCTTTGTTAAATGGCATTTAAATATATAAAATAAATATCAAAAATATAAGTCTTTGTTTTACTATGGTTGCAAATATCAAAAAATTTCTGTATGTGACACGGCACCAGAGTTAAGTTAGGGTTTTTCAAAATGCTGACACGCCGAGCTCAAAAGGTTCGCCATCACTGCCCTAGATAGTTAAACATTTTTATTTTCCTTGTGATGAAAACTTTCAAGATCCACTCTCCTAGCTACTTACAAATATGCAACACAGTACTATTAACTATAGTCTCTAGGATGTACATTAGTTTATCCTAAATACATTTTTTAATGGACCTCTTCCTGACTTCCTGCTGCTCTGTAACCACTGATCACAATATTAGGAAATAGATTTACCCATTTCTGGGAGTATATTTTCTCCTTTTGCCTATTTCTAGTAAGTGTAAAGCATCCTCTTGAAGTCTGCCTGACCTGTATTAGAAAATGCAACTTAAAACAATCTTTTTATTCCTTACCTCATTCAAATCTTGTACTTCATTATCTTTTGACCTTTCATACTGATTTCTCTTCTTTCTCCTTATGTTCCTGATAATTCAGGCTGTAAGTTGGAAACCTTAGTCCTAATAAGTCACCATATAAAATACATACATGCTTGTGTTATTCTTATTTTAAAAACTACTGAAAAGATAAGCTATATTTCTTAAGTATCTTTCCTGGAGGTTATATCCCTGAAATCTCTCCCTACCAACAACTTTCATCTCTTATCTGGTCTTGGATCTTTTGGAGAATTGCTTTATTATGAGCCCTGGCTGCAATCTGGCAACTGAACCAAAGGGAACAGTGCTTGAAAAAGCCACTGCGGAATCCTGATGGATCTAAATTACTTAAACTGATAATTTACCTATAAAAATTTCCAAATGTAAGTTTTTATTGTGGATTGGCCCAATAACAAAATTATATGCAAAAAAGTTTGTAAGTATTTAGATGTAATTTAGAAAGACACCATTGGTATTACTTTTATTCAGAACTAGGTTTCAATAGAAACTTCAATTAAGTTTTTAGTTTAATTCGAACATAAAAATATTCATTTACTTTTGGTGAAGAAAGGAAAGGGTTGATTGATCCAAGTGTTTTATTGAATTAAATTCTGGGGGAAGTATTCTGGAGTTTTGCTTATATTTCTAGATTCATAACTTACTGCCAGATGTTATTAAACCTGTAGATTTAAAAAAAGTCATTAGTTTAGTAAAGGTGATTATCAATAATGTGCCTTTCATATGTTTAATATCAATAAACAGGAATAGCAATCCTAAACTGGTGAGTTGAAAAGAAAGAGGAACACTACTGGGAAAATGGATGCTAAATCCCAAGTGTAACTTTGACAAATCCTCCTGTCTGGTGAAATGGACAAAAGACCTCTTTAAGAACCATGTTGACTTCTTAGCAGCAGTGTACAAATTCACAGGGAAGGATTTTTCTTCCCCAGAGCAGCTTCCCCTTCTTTACCAGCCGCCATCGCAGTGGAAAGCGTTTTTGTACATCCACACGTCATGTTGATGCATTCAACACCCAAGGCCCTACCCTGACAGCATCTGAGATGCCTCAGTACCAAGTGCAAGAAACATTTCAACTCAAAAATGAAAACCCCTCTTGCGTCCTTTGTGTTTTCTCAATAAAAGAATGTCATGTATTTTAATACCATAACTTAAAAAAAATACATATTTAAAATTTATTATCACCATGGGATATTAAATATAGTTATGTATTTAGGCAATTTATGCACTTCTTAAGTCTGGCGACCAAAGTTTAAAACAGAAAAACACAGGAAAGGCGAAGCAAATAATGTGAGAAATGAGTAATGGGATATAGAAACCTCTGAGTAGCTAAAGAGAGTCTACCTCACCTGTCAGCCAGCAGTAAACAAGGAGGAAGACTAATGGACTTGCTAAGAGAGTAGCCTCATTGGCATGGGGTAGCGGCCAAAGACTCTGGAGAACTGTGTAACAGTTCAGAACTTTCCACTCTCAGTGTTCTGCTATCTGAAAGGTAGGGATCATCTTATGCTCTGAACCAAACTATCTCCCAGACACAGTATGGTTGGAGAAGGGTTACTGCCATCCACCCTAGTTGCTTGCATTGTGCTGTACCCTATCACAGGCACAGACAAATGAGATGGTGAATGCAGGCACGTTAGAGAATAAAATACTACGCAGTCATCACTTCCAGGTAGAGATGGTTTATGTGCTCTGTGCATCATATGCCATTGCCCCCACGAGTTATAATAAATCCCTAATATAAATCTTCACAAGAGTTGCTGTGTTATAGTAAGTGAGCTCTAGGGCCAGACAAACCTGGATCAATTCCTGGCTCTGCCTCTATACTTTCATCAAGTTCCTATAAATTCTCTCAGATATGAACTAGGAATACTCTACTTACCTTAAAAAGGGCTGTTACAGAGATTACATGAGATTGTGTTTATAAAACACCTAGAACAGATCGTGGCATATGACAGATGACCAAAATATTGTGGCTATTATTATTCCTGCCAGGTACCTAACATTTCTTATATTTTAAGCATTTTTTCTGAGGACAGGCATACTAGCAGCAGTGAGATGGTCTACTTACTGTTAAATCTGTCTACATATAGAAATGGGTAAGAAACACAGTCATATCTTGAGGAGCCTGCTTGATTTAAGGGAGTACCTTTCTTATTTGTCATTTTTAAGTCATGGGACTGCCCTCCCACCCATGTTTTCAAAATAATTCTTATGAAGAAGCTGCCTGCAGAGTGCCCAGAAGTGGAGGCTTCTCTGGTTCTCAGTGAGGTGGCAGACCTAGAGATTTGCATCTATGGAACAGCAAGGATTCCCTGAAAATCAAGGCGGCAAAAACATGGGTTTTGTAGTCATTGAGATTTGAAATCTTGACTTCCACTTTTATAAATTTGTGATCTTAGCTTTCTCATCTGTAAAGCAGGGTGAACCATACCTACCTCTCAGCATTTCTGTTAACATTCAATGAGTTATGGCAAATCCCCAGCAGTAAAGTTACTACAACATTAGTTTCCATTCTTTTACTCCCTTTTTGTAGAAACCAAAAACAAATCCCCAGCAGTAAAGTTACTACAACATTAGTTTCCATTCTTTTACTCCCTTTTTGTAGGAAACCAAAAATAAAGTAGTCAGAGAAAATGACCTCATCCTAACTTGATAGCATTTGCAAAGACCCTATTTTCAAATTAGGTCCCATTCACAGGTACTGGGGTTAGGACTTTAACATGTTTGGGGGGTGAACCACAATTTAGCTTATAACAGAGACTAATAAACAGAATATATAAAGAGCTCTTGCAACTTAACAATAAAAAGACGAACTCCAATAAAAATTGGCAAGGATTTGAAAGACATTTTCCAAAGAAGATATATAAATGGTCAATAAACACATGAAAAGATGCTTAATATCATGTCATTCAGGAAATGCAAATCAAAACTACATCGAGATAGTACCTCACATCCAATAGAATGGCTATAAGATAGATAGAATATATCAAATGTTGGTGAAGATGTGGAGAAATTGAAACTCTCATACACTCCTAATAAATGGTACAGCTCCTTATGGAAAATAGCCTGGCAGTTCTTCAAGAGGTTAAACACAGAGTTAACATATGACCCAAACATTCCATTCCTAGGTACATACCCAAGAGAAATGAAAACATTTTCACACAAAAGTTTGTATATGAATGCTCATAGCAGCATTATTCATAACAGCCACAAAATGGAAACTACCAAATGTCTATCAACTGATGAGTAGAAAGACAAAGTGTATATATTCACATAACAGAATATTATTCTGCCACAGAAAGGGATAAAGTACTGATTCATGCTACAATATGTTTTATTTTGAAAACACTATGCTAACTGAAAGAAGCCAGATGCAAAATGTACATATTGTATGATTCCATTTATATGAAATGTACAGGGTAGGCAAATTCACTGAGACACAAAGTAGATTAGTGTTGCCAAGGGGCTGCGGGTATGGGGGTATGAGATATGGCTACTAATAAGTATAATAAGTATGGGGTTTCTTTTTAGGGTGATGAAAATATTCTAGAATTAGACAAATATTCTAGAATTGTACAACCTTGTGCAATTTTTTTACTAAAAATCACTGAACTGTATGTTTTATCTATTTAAAAGTATTTTTATTGATTTCAGAGAGGAAGGGAGAGGGAAAGAGAGATAGAAACATCAATGATGAGAATCACTGATTGGCTGCCTCCTTCATGTCCCACATTGGGGACTGAGCCCACAACTTGGGCATGTGCCCTGAAGGGGAATCAAACTGTGACCTCCTGGTTCACAGGTTGATTCCCAAACACTGAGCCACATTGGCTGGGCTGAACTGTATATCTTAAAAGGGTGAATTTTACAGTGTGCAAATTATATTTCTATTTTAAAAAATAAATTTAATTAAATATGTAAGAGATCTGTGTGCTGAAAACGGTAAAACATTGCTGGTATAAATTAAAGAAGATCCAAATAAATGGAAAGACAGGCCATGTTTACTCATTAGAGAATTCAATATTGTTAAAATGTAAATTTTCCTTAAATTGATAAAAAATTCAATGAAATCCCAATAAAAATTCTAGCAGGCATTTTTGTCAAAGTTGACAAGCAGATTCTAAAATGTATATGGAAATGCAAAAGACCTAGAATAGCCAAGACAACTGTGAAAAAGAAAACAAAGTAGGAGATGTTTTCTTTCTGATTCCAAGACTTAAAATAAAATAAGAGCATAGTATTATCCTAAAAACAAACACATAGATAAGTGGAACAGAATAAACTCCAAAAATAGACTTCCATAATTGATTTTTAATAAAGGTGCCAAAGTAATTAAATAAGGAACTGTCTTTTAAAAAATATATATATTTTTATTGATTTCAGAGAGGAAGGGGGAAGGAGAAAGAGATAAAAACATCAATGATGAGAGAGAATCATTGATCAGCTGCCTCCTGCACGCCCCCTACTGGGGATCGAGTCTGCAACCCAGGCATGTGCTCTTGACCAAAATCGAACCCGGGACCCTTCAGGCCCTAGGCTGATGCTCTATCCACTAAGCAAAACCGGCCAGGGCCTAACTGTCTTTTTAATGAATGATTCTGGAATAACCAGGTATATATTTGGAAATAAGTGAACCCCAACCCTTACCTCACACTATATACAAGAATACAAGAATTATAATCTGATGGAACATAAACCTAAATGTAGAAGCTATAATTATAAAATCTTTAGAAGATAGGAAAAATATTTTGTGCCCGTGCTGTAGACAAAGATTTCTTAGTTAGGCTTTTTGTGTACTATCATAAAATTATTTTAAAAAACACACTGATGAATTGGTCTCTATCAAATTTTCAAAACAACTACTCTTTATAAAACACTGTTAAGAAAATGAAAAGACAAGTCATAGACTAAAAGAAAATATTTGAAATACATATATCTAATGAAGGACTGGTATCCAAAATATATAAGGAATTCCTACAACTCAAAATAAAGAATACATATAACTCAATTAAAAATGAACTAAACAGCCCAGCCAGAGTGGTTCAGTTGGTTGAGCATCATCCCATGCACCGAAAGGTTGCTGGTTTGATTCCTGGCCACGGCACATACCTGGGTTTTGGGTTTGATCGCCAGTTGGGGAACACAGGGAAAGCAAGTGATGTTTCTCTCTCACATTGATGTTTTTCTCTCTCTGTCTCTCTGCCTCTCTCTCTCTCTTCCTTCCTCTAAGTATGTGTGAGGATTAAAAAAAAAAAGAGCAAAACATTTGAAGAGATGCCTCACAAATGAATGTACACAAATGGCCAAATGGGCACATCAAAATATACTCATTGTCATCAGACACTCTCAAAAGTCAAATTAAAAGAACAAGATACCACCATATGTCTGCTAGAACTTCAAAGACTGACAATAACAATATTGGTGGAGATAAGGAGCAACTAAAAGTTCCATACCATTGTTGGTAGTAATGTAAAACAGTACAACTAATTTGAAAACCAGTCTGGCAATTTCTTATAAAATTAAACACATAATTACTCTATGACTCAGCTAATTTCACAGCTAGGTATTTATCCAAGAGGTGGAAAAAAACTGGTATGTGAATACTAATAGCAGCTTTATTCACAGCAATCGAAACCTGGAAACAACCTAATTGTCTATCAACCAATGAGTAAATAAACAATTTGTGGTATATCCATATATAGGAATATCACTCAGCATTATAAAAAATGAACTACTGATACAGGCAACAATATGGATAAATCTCAAAAGCATTATGTGTGAAAGAAACCAACATAAAAGAGTATATACTAGATGATTCTATGTATCTGAAATTCTAGAAAGGTGAAGTTGGGGAGATGGACAGCAAAGGGGGAGGGAACGTTTTAGTCTGATGAATGCTTTCTTCCTTGATTGCAGTGGTTGTGATTATACAGATATATGCTTTCGTCAAAGCTCACTGAATTCAACTCTTAAAATATGTATGTTTATATTATAGTAAATATTTCAATAAAGTTAATTTAAAGAAGAAATACAGATAACTTTTAAATATGAAAAATGCTCAATCTCACTATAAATAGATAAATTAAAATTAAAATTATACTGAGACACTCACCTATCATTTGGTAATAATATAAAAGTTTGACACTGTATCAGCTGGTGAATTTTTTAGGACACTGGCTTTCTCATACATTGCTGATGCGAGAGGAAAATGGTATAATTTCCATTGAATAGTATCTGGCAATATCTACTAAAATTACAAATGCACTATCCCAAACCCCACAATCCCATTTCTATGACTCTATGCTACAGAAACACTTGCATATATATGCAAAGTACAAGAAACTACCCACGTGTCCGTCAAAGGGAGACTGGCTGAATAAATTATAGTACACCCACACAACAGAATGCTAGTCTGCTCTACAGAGTGAGGAAGATCTCCTTGTATGATATGAAGACTCTCCAGGATCATTTTAGTAAAAAAGAAAGAAAGAGACGAAGAAAGGAGAAAATCTGAATAAACATTCCAATTGCTTACATGTAAATAAATAAATACTACTAGAAGGGTAAATAAAAATGGTCACTAATTAATCAACTTGCTTTAAATTAGAGCAACAGTGGGGTCTTTGGGGAAGAATTTTGGTAAAAGTTCCTTAAGTCCTACCTGGAAATACCTTCTTTTCTCCTTCTTTCCTTCCCTCCCTTTCTACAAATGAATTATTTACTTGCAAGGGGGTTTTGGAAGGCAGGAAGGATACTAGTTCCTTGGCTGAAATCAAGAGGTCCTGTGGCTATAGTTTTCCTTGATACCTAAAAAGTCGGGAATATGGGGCCCAGGGAGTTACAATAAAAACAAGCTCAGTGAATGAGATCCCTCGGTAACAAGGGATATCACTCAACTTAAGTATGTAAGAGGAAGGGCTGCCACAAAAAAGGAGTCTAGATCCTTGACGTGAATGTTTGAAATAGCCCTATCTGAAACACATCAGCTCTTGCTTCAATTTGATCATCGATCACTATGCTCACCACTTCAGAGGCTGATCATGCTGGAAAGACTAGACACTGTATACACTGGAGCCTAATGTATTATTAGTTTTCTACGATATTTCATTACGCTTAGTGTGGTTCCAATTAGCCACTCTCCCACCATTGGTTGATTCTACAAACCAACTGCATTTTGATGATTAAAGATTCCCCCTATGCTTGCATCTTTGTAAAATTCTTCTTTTCTTTAAAGAAACAACCCATTATATTCTTCATAGTGGTTGTTCCCCGTGGAAAAGAAGTGAACAGAATCACAGACTCTGTACCTCAATTTCTTCCTAAAATCTAATTGGCTGAGCAATAGAAAAAGACAAGCAATAAGAAGAGAGTAGCAGCCTGGCTGATGTGGCTCAGTGGTTAAGTGTCAACCCATGAATCAGGAGGTCACAGTTCAATTCCCGGTCATGGCACATGCCTGGGTTGTGGGCTCGATCCCCAGTGGGGGGGTGTACAGGCGGCAGCCGATCAATGATTCTCATCATTGCTATTTCTGTCTCTCCCTCTCCCTTCTTCTCTCTGAAAAATCAATACAAACATATTTTTTAAAATTGTGTATGCTCCAAAAGCCCAAATAAATAAATAAATAAAAAGAAGAGAGTAGCAAATGAACAGCACCAATTATTCTGTATACTCTATAAAAATGTGACTCCTTAAAAATTAGAAATTGGAAAGAAGAGAACTTTAAAATACCTGTACTTTCTGTTCAGCACCCACAGTTTTCCAAGGGGAGTGGTTTCCAAGTTGCTTATTCTCTTGAGATTCACGAATCTCTCCTTTAAGCCTTTCAACCTTAAACACAAAAGTATTTTAAATACAAAAGTTGGAAGGGTGGGGAAGTTGCTTTGTTTTTAAAATATACAAATAACACATGAATACATTCTTCATGTAAAAATTCATACAACACATAAGTATACAGAATAAAAAGTGAGATTTTCCATCACATAACCTTACCCCAATAACCTTTCCCCTTTCCAGAAGTAACACGGTTTACAATATACTCTTCCTGAAATTGATCTCCCATGTATATATGTATACATATATATATCAAATACATAATGTATATATTTGTATAAGATATATACCAGTATTAGATATATAAATTTAAAGACAACTTGAACAGTTTTATTCATTTTTTCTTAATACAGTTTTACATTATGATTAAGATATATACCAGTATTAGATATATAAATTTACAGACAACTTGAACAGTTTTATTCATTTTTTCTTATTACAGTTTTACATTATGACAAAATATACATAATATAAAATTTACCATGTTAACCATTTTTAAGTGTACAGTTCAGTAGCATTAAGTACATTCACATTATTGTGCAATCATCACCACCATCCATCTCCAGACACTAGAGATATGATTGTAAAATGAATATAAAATTGGAGGGATATATAATATATCCAGAACTTGGAAGTATATATTAAAAATCAATGAATTGCTAAGGCGAAATGATTCAAAAATGTAACACAACAAAGGGTGCAGTATTAATAATCTCAAACATATCCAGTATAATAGAATAATAATTTCTATTTGGTAAATGTGTTAAGTATAAACTATTATCCAAATCCCTATGAAAAAGAAGAGATCCTAAATTGACACAATAGTAATAAGAATACTGTTTGGCATAAGTAGTTAAGATGTATAAAAATACAAATACTGATAGAATGCATCCAAGTCAAAATATGGCTTTTTCCAGGGATACTAGAACCACCAGTACCAGTCCACAATAATGACCAATAGGTGATGTGTATCTATGTTGCTCTATTGCTGATTGTTATTCTATTCACATTTAAATAAATTCTAAGAACAAACTAAACAACTTACCACTTCTCCAAGCACTTTTTTTTCTGAGTCAAGTGATCGAACCCGAGTTCTTAAAGCCAGAATTTCCTCATTCAGTCTCTGATTGTGTTCCTTTGCTTTCTTTAGGTCAACTGAATCTATAACAGAGAGAAGAATGCACTCTACTCAACTGGAACAAAGTTTTAATGTGAGGGTATGAACTCTAAAAACTGAGGAAGTGCTATTTCCTAACCTTCTTGTCCTGTCTCTGCCTGTGATCCTCTGCACAAGAGCTGCTAGACTCTAACGTCTAGCTCTAGAATATTACACCAACCTAATGAAACAGAACAGAATGCTTTTTATTTCTCACCCCAAGACTAATGAATTGGACTTCTGAGTACAGGATTTCCAGCATTAGAGGTTTCTCTAGGACCTGGGATTTTAAGACAGTTGAGCCTACCTTGTAAAGGTTCAAGGACAGAAACGATCTTCCTGGCTTCCTTGTAGTCCTGTCTCTCTTACACACCTAACAGACTTCTAGATACTTCTACTCATTAACAGCAAGTGCCCCATGGATGACTGAAGTAGTGAGCTAGGGACAGTGAATGAACAGATTCTCCATGTTAAAGCAAGTTAATTCATCGAAGCCATTTTTTCTGCCTGTAGCTCCATTGCCATTAAAGTGGTAGTCTATTCTCAGCTTAGCACCTCATCTTAAGACCTGCTCTTTCTGGCACTCATCAAAGTTTCATGAATACAAACTTGCTGACTGTAATTTTCCCGAATTTGTAGCTGTTTCTTTTTAGCCATTTTTCACTTCTGTTTCTCTTATTTTTCTTTTGCTGCTTTAAAGTCGTTGTTTTCCTTTTTCATTGCATGTTTTGTATTTAACTTGTATTAATTTTTTCTTTCTTCATTTTATCTCCCTTGCTACATTCCTTTTTCCTCTTTAGCATATAAATTTTCAAAATTTGAAAAATGCTGAAAACATACCAAAAAGAAAACAAATCATTCACAATCCCTTTATATATAATATATATTCACAATTTGTAGATAGATAGATAGGTGATAGATAGATAGATAGGTAGATAGGTAGATAAGTAGATAGGTAGATAGGTAGATAGGTAGATAGGTAGGTAGGTAGATAGGTAGATAGGTAGGTAGGATAGATAGATAGATAGAGTATGCAAACAAGATTTGTTCTACCTTTGGCCTATGCAATTTTTGTTGTTGTTAATCCTCACCTGAGGATATTTTTTCCATTGGTTTTTAGAGAAAGTGGAAAGAGGGGAGTGGGAGGAAGAGAGAGAGAGAGACAGACAGATAGACAGAGGTAAGAGAGGTACATTGATTAGTTGCTCCTGGAGGAAATCCAACCCTCTACCCTTTGGTGCACAGGCTAACACTTTGGCCACTAAGAAACACTGGCCAGGGACCAATAAACACATTTTAAATTATTTTTCTAGTTGCTTCCATTACAACACTCAAATTTCATTATATTATTTATAGCTGGTAGCATTTTTACATAGTCAAGTGAGGGTCAGATTAACTAATTCACCACTATGCCAGGTCTGTTGGCTTCTCAGTGAACAAGTATGTGTGAGGTGCTGTTAAGTGCATTAGAAGGTGTCTTGATCCCAGTTGTCCCAGTAAAATATGTATTATTTGTGTTTGCCACAGGTTTTGGAGTCAAGACATATCTGGGTTCAAAAACCAGCTAAAATAATTAATGTATCTATTGGCTAATTCACTTAACCTCACCATGACTCAGCTTCTTTATCTATGAAATTGTAATAATAATTCTCACTACTTGAAACTGTTGTGAGGATTAGAGGTAATGCAGATAAAGTGCCTGGCAGAGTACCTGTGACTAATAAGCAACAAATAGTAGTAATAGCAATAGTAGTAGAAATAGTAATAATAGCAGTAGTCGTGATATTATTATTATTAATATTATCTTAAAACATTGTTATATTATTATGTAACGTATTATTAAATATTATATCTGCTAAAATGACTCACCATTTTCTTTCAACTTTGTCAGATTTTCTTTCAGCTCGTCAATTTCTAGTTGAGCCTTTTCAAGTGCAGAATCTAAAAGAGAAAAAAAACCCAAAAAACAAAATACAGGATGGGGCAAAATTAGGTTCACAGTTTTTCATATGGCAAATAATACAATATTCACTGTTTAAAATGCATTCTTGATTTTAATTCCACAGTCAATTTGACAGAATCATTATTATTTTATGTATGTTCTGCCCAAGTAGAATGCACTTATAACCTGTTGATGCAATAATTCTACTCTTGGGTATATCACAGTTAAAATGTATAGGTAAGTACAAGAATATCCAGAGCAGCACTGTTCATAATAGACCACAACTGGAAACTACAGAAGTATTCAACAGTATAAAGGATAAATAAAATAAATTATTTTAACTTTAATAAACATTGAGTATGTTTATTCAATGAAATACTGTACAAACAGCAAGAGTGAACAAACTGCTGTAGGCAACAACATGGATGAATCTCACAAACATTAAGACTGAACAAGAGAAACTAAAGAATGTGTGGGGCCTTAGTCAAAACTCAGAAATAGTGCTGCAAGTCACGATAGTAGTTACTTTGGGGAGGAGAGAGGTGTAGACATAGGGAGAAGAAACCAAGGCCGCTGGGGTGCTGAGGATTTCTTGCTGGGTGGTCTGCACTTAAGAGTTGCGCACTTGTGCCTTGGCTGGTTTGGCTCAGCGGATAGAGTGTTGGCCTGCGGACTGAAGGGTCCCAGGTTCGATTCCAGTTGGGGGCACATGCCTGGGTTGCGGGCTCGATCCCCAGTAGGGGGCGTTTTAAAAAAATTCCAAACTCTCCTCTAGACATTTAAAAAAAAAAAGAGTTGTGCACTTCTTGGTAGGGATGTTATGCTTATGCTTTAATAACAATTTCTGGACACTGAAGAAAATGAGGCTTTTTATCAGATGTTTACGTGTTTTTCTGAAAAAATTATTTTCTGAAGGCGCTCATGTTCCACCCTGAGAAAAGATCATTACACTTAAAACACAGTCGGAAATGTTCTTCTGTAACCACAGCTTACCTAGCTTACTCTGTTCTTTCTCATTCCCTTGCAGTTCATCAGTGAGCCTTCGGATCTCTTCATGGACCATCCTTAACCTCTTTGCTATTTGTTCCACATTTCTCTCTATGCAGTTTTGTGATGTTTTATCTTTTTCTATGTCTTCATTATGGGCCTGAAATAAAAGTATTGTTAGTAACAAAACAAAAAGTAAATGTACTCTTATGACATTGTACTATTTCCCAGGTGTTCAAAAACCAAGAAATAAAAGTAGCAAACAGAATATTTCATGTATGTGCATCATTTTATTAGGTTGAACTATATAAAATTGGTGATATTTGGTTATTTTTGACCTATAAACATGCAATTTCATATGGCTCAATCTAACATTTCTAAAAAATTTTGGTTATATGATTATTTTAAAGATAGATATTTAGGCCTGACCAGGTGACTCAGTTGGTTGGAGCATTGTCCCATACACCAAAAGGTTGTAGATTCAATTCCCGGTCAGGGCAATATCCAGGTTGTGGGTTGGATCCCCGACCGGGGTGTATATGGGAGGCAACAGATGCCTGTTTCTCTCTCAAATTGATGTCTCTTTCCCCCTTTCTTTCTCTCTAAAATCCATGAAAACATGTCCTTGGGTGAGGATTAATACACACACACACTTGATATTTAATCATTAAAATGAGTATCATCTGGCAAGAAAGAAACCATTCTTCTCACTTATATGAACATTAAATACAGTTTGTAAAATGTTTTCACAGGAAGCATTTCACTGAATTTCAAGGTATAAATACACTGAACAAAGCTCAAATCATGTTTACAGCTCATTTTCTGCAATTATTTTCAAAGCATTATGAAAGCTAAGGAACAAATTCAATCTCAATTATATTTTGCTTTTAATCCCCAAAATATGCATTAATTTAAAATAAATATAATCACTATATGAATTTTTCTAAAAGATAAGAAAAAATTATCAGCTATAACAAAACCACTTTTAACATATTGGTATACTTCATTGAAGTGTGTAGTTTTTTTCACATTCATTTAAAAAAAATCTTTATTTTTGAGAGTATGACAGATGTCCCCTTGAGACTGAAACCTAGATAAATGCCCTTCGACCAGAATCAAACCCAGGACCCTTCAGTCCATGGGCTGACGCTCTATCCATTGAGCCAAGCTGGCTAGGGCGTGACTTTTTCATTGACATTATGAGAAACATTTCCCACATTGTTGAACAGATTTTGTAATGATAATTTTAAAAAGCCTGTGTAATGTCCCAGAGTGGGCATAACATAATTCATCATTGAAACATTTTGGTAGTTTCCAATTTTTGCTATTGAAAATAATACTATGACATATCCTTTTATCCATATATATTTTTCTTTATCTCGGGTTAAATTCCCAGTATGTACTTTATTCACTGGATTTAGCTTTTTAAATTAATTTCAGAGAAGAAGGGAGAGGGAGAGAGAAATAGAAACATCAATGATGAGAGAGAATCATTCATTGGCTGCCTCCTGCATGCCCCTCCACTTGGGATCGAGCCCACAACCTGGACATGTGCCCTGATCAGAAATCGAATCCTGACCTCCCGGTTGATAGGTCAATGCTCAAGCACTGAGCCACGCCGATCAGGCTGGATTTAGCTCTTAATAACATTTCCCCAGATCAAAAAATTTAATTCCATGAGAAGAACTTATTATATTTAAAATGATGTGCTTTACATTTTAAAGGACTCCTCAAAAGAGGAGCTCCATTCATATTTGGAAAGAAGTATGCATTGTCTCTAATGTGATTTTTCAAAGGATATAATACACATTGATTAAATTTTGATACATTCAAAACAAATCAGCTATGTGTTAAATGGGTAATTGATTTTCCTTCTTCCTAAATTTTTGTGATATGTTTAAGATACTTTTATGCACAATCTGATCATTTTTGCAGCATCATTACATACATTTAAATATATTCAAACAAAATATTTCCAAGGTAGAGTTAACTTGCAATTGGGTGGTACTATTAAGTATTGCCCCTTATTCGGTTATCTAGTTAATTTTGGAATACCTGGGCAAATTCTTTCAGTAGGTTACTGCTCATACATCTTTGTGACTCTGGCTTTGAGTCCCCACATTCCAATTTACTCAGGATTTTACTTCTGTCCACCAGTAAGTATGCAATCTGTTCACTGGGGCTGCTCAGAGCTATTTCAGAGTCTTCTTGATACAACATTTCTCCAACCTCCTTTCTTTGTGCTTCTATTAGGAAGAAATAACAGAAACAAACTGTTAAAAGAAATGCAGGTAAATAACTACTCTATAAGATGCTAAATGAGTTCTTAATTAGATAACACATTAATTTAAAAAGTAAGCAACACTGATACTATTACGCTTCTCTCCATCTCTCCAGGGTGTTTGCAAACTTTCAAAATTATAACAAAAAAGTAGTGAGAAAAGTTCTCAAAAGCAGTAAATATTCTTACTACTATAACTTTAAAATTTTTTCTTGAATAACTTTAAAATTTGTTTATTGAGTGCTTATGATGTGACAGGTGTTGTACTAATGTCTGAGATAAATTTATCTCATTTAATACTTACTACAACCCAATGATGTAGGAACCATGATTATTGTTTTATGAGAGAAGAACTCAGGCACCAAAAAAAAACTAAATAACTTTTCCAAGGTGACTCAATGAATCTTGCCAAAATTCTTGGTAACTTCAATATTCAGGTAGATGATCATTCTAGTGTCCTGCCTTTTCAGTCCTTTCACCAGTTTTTTAAAAAATATATTTTTATTGATTTCAGAGTGGAAAGGAGAGGGAGAGGGAGATAGAAACATCACTGATGAGAGAGAATCATTGATCGGCTGCCTCCTGCATGCCCCACACTGGGGATCGAGCCACAACCCGGTTATGTGCCCTGACCTAGAATTGAACCGTGACCTCCTGATTTATAGGTCAACGCTCAACCACTGATCCACACAGGCCAGGCTCACCAGCTAACTTCTAAAGATCTAGAACTCTATCCTATCTCAGCTATCTACTCCGTAGTAACTCCCTAGACCTTGTATTTAGCAATAACTATAGCCTCTCCCTAGTCTTAAATGCAAGCATCCTATTCTCTAATTATTCCTTCTAGTAGCATGATTTCAACAAGTTTTCAACCATACTGGGAACTATAATCCATTGACTTTAAATGCTTTTCAATGTTCCTTACCCTGCTCCTGTTCTCATTCAGTTTCTTACCCAGCTTAGGTTCTTATTATCCATCATTATAATCACTTCCTTGGAAACATTCACAACTCTCTTACCCCGTTTCCTTCCATTAGACATGATTGGTAAAACTCCAATCTGTTTAAATACAACTTTCCACCTCTTTTACACCTTACTGCAGACGCAGAATGTGGCTGGACAAAACTGTACAGCCAGTGCTCATTGATTTTACTTTGAATTCATATCTATTGACCTCAAGTGAGCTCATACTGCTGACTAGCAATCCTCCTGCATTTCCCTAGTCTGTCTGTCTGTCTGTCTGTCTGTCTCTCTCTCTCTCTCTCTCTCGCTCATTCTCTAGAGACCTAGGCCATTATTTCATTCCTTTCTCTCCCCAAATCTCCTTCCCATCCCGAATACCCTGCCTCTTATTTCACTGAGAAAAGAGAAGCACTCCGAAGAGAACATCCACAAGCCCCTCTTACCAAATCTGCCAACTCGCACACCCTCCCCTCTTGTGAGGTTCAATGGACCTATCCTGGCTCCTGAGGCCAGTCCTTTCCCTTGCACAGTGGATCCCACTCCCTCTTATCTCAAAAATACTAATCTTGCAATTGACTCATCAAACTTTCTTTCCATCTAAGCATTATAATAATCTCAGAGACATGCTATATCTCCCATTACAAACAACAATCAGTATAATTGGAAAGAAAAGCACCTTTCTTCAATCTCATGGCCCCCTCCAGCTTCTGTACTATTTCTTCATCCTCCTTTACAGCACAACTTCAAGAAAAAAAATCAATCACACCCGTGTTCCCTCCTTCTCTCCTACCACTCCAATCAGGCTTTCATATCCACCACTCCACAGAAACAGCTCTCATCAAAGTCACTAATGACCTCTATGTGACCAACTCCAATGGCCCATTATGTGCCCTCATTTCACCTAGCCCTGTGGTCGGCAAACTGCGGCTCGCGAGCCACATGCGGCTCTTTGGCCCCTTGAGTGTGGCTCTTTCTAAGCCTTAGGAGTACCCTAATTAAGTTAATAACAATGTACCTACCTATATAGTTTACGTTTAAAAAATTTGGCTCTCAAAAGAAATTTCAATCGTTGTACTGTTGAT